TTTTACATTTGGCCAGTTTATTGTACAATAAATCGTTGGAAATGGGCTTTGTAATACCTTAGTACTATCAATATTCAGTATTAGATGTAAGCCATTCTTATTCGGGCTTTAGGTGGGCTTAGGTTACATTATGCTGTAAGAGGTCTCACATAACGTCCGTAGCGTTGCCAAACACGATTACGACCATGTACAGGTTTTAGACAGCTCGTTCCGGTGTCCCGGTCCAGCCTTAAAAAGTCCCCGTTTTCCTTCAAAATTCCTGGATTTATGCAAAAAAAATGTAGTCTGTTTAGTTTTTATTGAATTTTCGTATTAAAATTTGCTTCCCATTTGTAAATGTTCAATATAACATCTTCGAATGATAAGAGCTTTTTGTTTGAGTTGATGATCGTGCAGATCTCTAATTACGAAAAGCTGCTTTCTCTTAATTTATGTTCTCTTAATAATGTGAAGTTTAATGCGTAGAAAACATAATACTCGCCTTTTTAATAAAATATTTTTCTACTTAGAAGAAAATTACAAATTGTTGGTAGTTGTTATACGGGTATTTCGAGAGATTTATAAAATTACAATGGAACGAACAGAATTGATGAGTATAGGTAGTAGTAGTAAACTTATACCTGAAGTGTTTAATTTAAGAATTATTTACAATGCCAAACTTAAAAAAAACTAATTTACAAAAAGGCAAAGCACCAAAGCTCTGGCAAGACCACTTCTTTGCTGTAAACTTTTCAGTGTAAAGCTTCAGAACCTCAGACAAAGAACTACAAATTTACAACAAGTCAACAAAAATTACAATCAACTTGGACAACTAAAGATTTCAAAAGAAACTGTAGAAAATATACACCAGTAAGTGTTTGTAAGCATTGGTACAGAATTAAAGCTTTAATTCGCCGAAAGCCTCCATACCATCAAACACATCTTCATATGAAAACTTTATGCAAAAAAAATTTATTTATTTTCAAACGACACAATCTAAAAATTAAAACAAAATCTCATTAAAAAAACTGATTGGAAAAGTTATCATAGAAATGAGGCCAATGAAAAGGTTACAATACTAATTAACCCTTAGTAAATAAGAAAGATTTCAATATGCCTCCTGTGAGGTTTGAACTCACGACCCCTGGTTTACGAGACCAGTGCTCTACCACTGAGCTAAAGAGGCTTGCAAAGGCAACCAGATACATACATACATGTGCACATAAATATCTACTAATGTTTTTTTTTATTGACATTACCAACAAATAAAATCGATTTTCGTACCATTTATGTATAAGCAACTTATCAGCCGAATAGAAATTAAAAATATGTTCTGGTAACATCAATAAAAGTGTAAATACAAATGTAGTAACTATGTGCACCCTATGTGTGTTTGTACAAATAAAAACTATACCACAGTTTTGTTGTTTTTTAGTTAAACTATTAAAATTGGTAATGACTTGAGTTTGTATACTCACATACATACAAGTATGTATTTGGAAGCCAATTATCAAAACTTTTAATACAAAAGTATAAAATATCCTTTAAATATTTGAAACGGTTGTAAATATCTTATAGGACTATTGACTGAATATTTTTGTTTTTCACAAACGCCTGATTTTGATTGGCATACGTGGCAACCCTATTTGTTCAGGTTTTAGAAAAATTGTCCTGCTGTCCTGGTCCACACTTAAATTCTCCTAGCTTTTAAGGTGATTTCAGATACCCATTTAATTTTTAACAGATTTCTGCTATGAAAAAATGGCTAAACTTTCTAACATGTTCAACAACATCTGGTGAGTTTACCTTCTTTCTGTTTAGTTTATTTGGGTAAAATTTTACTTTTTATCTTCAGAAAAATGCCAAATAATTGTTAAGTCCTCAACAGGTATACGGCTAAGGGGTCTTACATACCGAACCCTAACCGCCAAAATAACGTAAGCGACATTTTTTTTTCAAAATTTTCTTTTTGATGCAGAAATTCATCTAGATGCTCTAGGAATATTTCTGCATCAAAAAGAAAATTTTGAAAAAAATGTCGCTTACGTTATTTAGGCGGTTAAGGCTCGATACTACCCAGTAGACAATTTGCTATTTTAAGATTAAAAATCAAAAACTTGAGCCAAAGAAACTGTGCTTATAAGCAATAAATTGGCACCACATTCACTTGTATCCTCGTTTTTGATTTGGATGATAAGTGTCCTGGTTAAGGCTCTTGGCAGCCATAATTTAAAGTGTAATATCGAACATATTTTTGAGTAGGCATGGTGGTCAATCTATACATTGTCCGACTTCGCTCTATATAACAAATTAATGAGGTTTCTGTTTTTAAAACTAGACTCATTTTAACGGTCAGAATTCAAATCTTAATTGTAAAATAATTGATTCCATAAGCTCGGAGGAATTTTTTCGATGTTTTTCTGAAATTCCACTCCAAAAAATTATACACTCAAGTACTGCCTCCTGTGAGGATTGAACTCACGACCCCTGGTTTACAAGACCAGTGCTCTACCACTGAGCTAAAGAGGCGCTTAATCAAGCTATTGAAAATTTATATCAAATCGAAAGAGTACATTCTTTTTTAAAAAGTAGAGGTCTATGTTCATACATACGTATGTGTATACATATAGAAGTAGTTAACTAAAAGTTTTCATTAATTTAAAAGCATTTTTAAGTTTAACAGCGCTTTATGAAAGACGTATCATGCTGCCAACGCTTCAAAGTACACGATATTACGCGCATTTTTTTAAGTGAATTAACTCAACATTTCCGTTTATAAAAAAAAGTAAAAAACTATTTATGAGCTCATGTTTTTCATATTTGACTGTGCATTTCGCAATAAATTACAACGGTATATTTCTTCAGCTTTTGCAGGGAGGTCTGAGAGCATTTTTAGTACATACATAATGGAATGACAATTTTCGAATTAATAAACTTTTGAGGTACATGTGGAATATGTGTGTGCATTATACCGTACCGGAAAAAAATGTTCCCGCATACCCTTAAATCTAACGCACTCGTAATTTTATAAATTGATTTCGAAAAAAAATATTTTTGCCCCAACGTAGAGGGCGCCTTTTTGGATTTTTTGTTATATCTTCGGTGTTTACGGTATGAAATATCGATGTCCAGACGACACTTTTTTTGCTCCAAAGTTTAAAAAACATAATAAAACTTGGTCAGGGTTCTTTTAAAGGGTGGTAAATATAATAACTTCAAAATTTTATTTTCTGCGAAACGCCATCAAAGTTTGATGTACAAAATAAAAAATATAAAATATGAAAAGACAAATAGCTTCGCCATTTTTGTGAGCTTAATTATCGGTCAGACTGAACATTTTATCCTAATCAAGCCTTATCATTATCCTTATAAATTTTATGATGAAATCTCGAAAAATTTAAAATTAGAATTAAATTTCTATATTATTATGCATGTGCATCGTTACCTTAATTCACAAAGGCTCTAACCAATACTTTTTCGAAACTGCTATCTTCACAGATTTTGCTAGGATGTATTAAAATACACTTTCAATAAAAATGTTAAATTGTTAGTACAAAAAAGAGAGGAATGATACACTTTCCCAATTTAATTGGAAATTCAACATAGAAACACATAAGTTAGAAAAGACGTCAGGCTTTTTCTGAATATAATAAAATAATTGTTATTCATTGTAAGGTTTGGTGTTTCCGACAGGGTACGAATATGATGTTATGTGGAACGATTTTCCGTCATTCCTTATCAAATTTGGTTTGGACACAAACCGATTTCGGCGTTGTGCCATACTCAGTGTCGGATTTCGTTTGATAACCGGAATTGAGTGGGAAAGTCCGGCGCCCAGAAGAAGACGTGGGTTGTTACCTTTGTAAGAGGCTTTTTTGTCGTTCGGTCACGGTCACGAGTTTTGCGAAGGTTCTGCTTTCTATTAAACGAGGCGAAAAAATTTCTCACTGCTGGCATCGTAATAAATAAGTATATATCGGCTTGCATTCAGGATTATGAACCCTTTTTCTTCTTGCTACTGACGCTCACGGGCCCTCAATCAGCTTTTTTCCTATAAGCTAGTTAGTGTTTGTCCGATACCACCATGTACTCGTTGCCTGTACAAATTCAAAGTACTCGATGCTACTCAAAGTGTCGCTCGATTCTACTTGTACTAGAAAGTACCCAGATGAGAAATATTAGATCAATGACCGTATACAATTATAGGGCCGATTCTGAACAAAAACTCCCCGCGAGTTTTCTCCGTTTTTCCTTTCCTCCTATGAATAAAAATTCCCTGACGATTTTTTATTCTAAATGGCGGAGTTGGCAGTAAAAAAGTGTGAAACAGCTCTTTCGGAGTTCGAATTTCCTCCTCTCAAATTTTCGGGGAAAATGCTCCTCCTAATATTTTTACCAACGCAATGTATTTTTGTACAGGAATTCTTTGATGTGGCTTATAGGCTGCAAAGTGACAAAAACTAAATATTTTCGCTTCTGGGAAAGTTGACGCTTTGAGTAATCATTGACGATCTCTTACGTAAGTTAAGTCTAGACTAACTGAACCTTAAAGAAAATACAACGTCAAAGGGGTTTACTTCTAAACCAAAATACCAAACCATAGCGATGCATCGTACAGTAACTTAACTCTTCTTCTTAACGGTTTTTCTGGCAGGCTGTGGGTGTGTGTTTTGTGTATTTGGAATAAATTGTATTAGAAATTGTAGAAGATAACAGCAAATGCCATAAAATAGGTGATCTCAGCTCAGTTTTAGTTTGGAAGCTGCACGTTGTACCAAACTTAAAAAACAACGACGGAAATGTTTAATTTTCTCAATCATTCACCGATGGAAATTTGTTTATTGCTCATTTTTCAATAATAACAATTTATAAAAGCTTTCGTTTAATATTCATTCATTTAAAAATCACATGCTGAGTGTGCAATAAGTGATTTCCTCGTTACTGCAAATGCATGCGAAATAAAAAACAAAAACAAAATCCATTACAAATCATTACACAGATTTATTTTAGCTTTTCCCACATTAATCTGTTGCATTCAAATCATTTAAATCGCTCGGCGCCTGACTTTCCATCGACACACATCGGTTGTTGTTGCCATTATTATTTTCATTCTCGTTTTGTACGCCAAATTGTCGCTGCACACCCTCCAGTGACTCTCGCTTCGGTGTACTCCAAGTGAATTTCGAAAAGCTCACATTTATTTTACCTCCACTCCTCATGCCGGCCCAAGGCCGTACCACCGGTGTGCCAATACGTTGCCCTGTCACATTCGTGTGGTTTATTGTCGCCGTTGCCGGTGGCGTTGAAATTTGAGGTGTTGCCG